ACTGGATTCATTGCCATCCTACGACCTGATGGCCCTTCAAGCATCTCGGATCCCAACACAGTTGGGCCCCAATTGATGGCAACATGCACTGGGACGGATGAGGATGTTGTAGCCTACTCCAGGCCCCCCAATCTTGGCAACCTACTGTCCTACAGGAAGGTTCCAGAACTAGATGGCTCCCCCGTCTCATCCTTTCTGGATTAGAGGCCTGTCGGGGAGCCATGGCACACACACCCACACACCCACACACACCCACACACACACACACATCCAGCCCATCGAGGTATTGGATTTACGGTTTAGTTTAGCTTGGTTTCGGTCTATACCGTACCAGCTCCTATGTGTCTATTTTCGAAATCACCACAAACAGGGTACCCTTGCTTTTCTCACAGCCTACCCGGCTTGTATCTTTTGCCATCCCCAGCTTGCTCCACTGATGAAGCAAACAGCGAAATTCCTAAGCTCAGAATTTGGAAATCAGCAAGCAACGGTATACCCCATGGATAAACATCCAAATGGTAGATTCGTCGTAGATTAACTCCTAGTAGTGTCTACACACATCTCACACAACATCACACATCTCACACAGCACTCAACGTACACACACCTACACACACACACACATACAGCGATAAAAGTGTGAAAGACCCTCAGTCCGTTGAGGGCAATTTTACCAACTAACAATTATTATTTACCCCATCCTTTATGCCGGACGTACAGACTAACTTGCACATACAGCCATAAAAGTGTGAAAGACCCTCAGTCGGTTGAGGGCAATGGTTGGCACCCAATAACACTAACTTGAACAGCTCTTGAACCGACTTTGTGACACCACGAATTGGGGTACCTGATGGGCTCCTGATGGCTCCAAGACTGATAAAACGATCAAACCACTCAACTACACTATCCCCTCATCGCTCAACATTCGTTGAACAGAACAAGGAACACGAGGATGGCACTTTTAGCTCCCAGAGAAAGCAGGTTATGGCGACAGCTTTTGTTCCTTGTGGCAATGCAGTTCCGTTTTGGCTTTTCTTTGCCGTACTTGATGACTTGCTCGCGATACCAGCTGCCATTCTCTCAAGATATTATGATACCGCCCCAGCTACAAAGTCCCCGGAGGGATTAAGTTCTATAATTAGATTTGATGATACCGCCCCATCTGCCATGGCTAGACCAAGTACCAGGTGGTAGTAGCTAGGAACTGCACAGACTTTAGAAGTCTTCTGCTTGACTACTTCATAATGGCTACTTGCTAGCTTGGAGTATTGGTTTATTGGCTAATGCTCGACTCGACTCGGTCGGGCGCAGCAACTTCAAGCGAAGCCCCACCCAAAAGGCTGGGCGTACTAGCTAGTACATAGCCAAGAGATAGGTGCCCTGTTTTTACTGCATACTCCGGCTCCAGCAGCTTTTACCAGTAGTAGGTAGTCAGAAACAGGCCAGTGAGGTCACCCGAGTTTGTCGCGTGGAGCTCGTTTGGTTTCTGTGCTCTGTGGTCGCTGCATTCCTGGAAAGTAGTCAGACACGAGCAATCCGATGCATCGGTTCATGCATATGGCACTGTGAGGTGTGGTCTTGCAATTCGCACCTCGCCTGAGCTCCCGAGAAGACAAAATAAATGCACAGAATCACAGAATCAGATGCACAGAAATAGTAGGCCACTCTACTGAGCACTGAGTAGAGTGCGATAAGAAAAGCTTGACAAAAATAAATCACAACTAAAACCAGAAAACCAGAATCATTGGAGAATCATGGTGGGAGAGCTATCGGAGCAGTTGGAGCCATATGCATACTAGTACATGTACCACATTCCCGATTCAGACGCTGTTTTTACGAAGAGTTTCCGACTTCCGACCCGCCGAGCAATCGCATGCTTGACTGCTTGACCCGTACTCGATTACCAGCCCGAAGCAGTGCTTGCCACTGCTGTAAGCGCTCCTACATTAGAATACCTAGTCTAGTAGTTTACTCCGAGTAGATGCCGCCCAAGCTGCAGCAGAAATAAATAAATAAAGAAGATGCAGCTTGGAAATCTGTATAGTAGTCACAAATAAATAATCAGAATCAGGTGACCTAGCTTCAGATGACTTATTACAGACACTTTCTTCTTTGTAAGTACTAGTAACGTAATTACAGTTAGTTTATTTTACAAGCAAGTACTGCGAGAGCTCTACGAGTAGTACGATACTAGTACCGCTAACCGGTACCAAGGAGCTTACCAAGGTAAGGCAGCTGTGAAGCCGATGGGACAAAGCAGTGCAGAGAAACAGGAGATCCCCAGGATTTAACAACCAAAAGAACAAGAAGCATCAGCCTTCCGCCATTCAACCAGTTATTAATGTCGGAATGAAGCAATAAAAGAGTAAAAAAGTTCAAACTGGCAACTGGATGACTGCGGAATGCCCAGGAGCTTCTTTCTGCCGAACCAGCATACAGTACAGAGTACAGCCTGGCAGGCTTCAAGAGTTCTCGTTCCGGGAAAGTTAGAGAAAATCCAAAAAAACCATCGTTCCGTCACTACTTGCTTGGATCTTGAATTTCGAGTTGGATGTCGAACACTTGACTGGAAAACTAATAATGTGAGAACGGTGGCAACCTTTCTCCGCTCCCAACCAAACACGCCTCTGATCCCCCATCTTTCCACAAATTGCATCATTACTAACTAACTCGAAGACCAAGAGGAAACTCTAACGACACCCACAAACAAACGATAATAACTAACGATGACTGGTCCCACCAACACGAAGGATCCAATGCTGCCTGGAATCAACGGAGGCGGAGGAGCGCAAGAAGATGAGGAACTGTCGATAGCCGAAAGCGGCTTTAGCGACGAGTTTGACGGCAGCAGTTCGCGAGACCAGAGCAGTGGCACTGGGAAATCTGGAACCGGTACAGACAGCGACGAAGACGGTGCCAAAGCGATTCGAGCCCAGCTTTCGAAGGAGCAGTCTAGCAATGTGTTTCGATTGCGTTTGGTTGTGATGCTGGTCTTGACGTTGGCATGCGTTGTGCTTGCCCTGATCATTTACAATCTCTCTGCCCGGGCGGAGACTGATTCCTTTGAGAGTCAGTACGAGGCTGTCGCTTCCAAGGTCATTGAAGGCTTTGAAAACATCCCTGATCGGATGGAAGCCGTGGCTGGGTTGGGGTTGCTGTTTACCGCATCAGATCAGGACTGGCCGTTTTGTAACTTGAAGCACTTTCATGAGAAAGCCAAGCATGCCCGGACCCTTTCAGGGGCTCTTGCAATAGACATGTTCCCTCTTGTGACTGGAGAGCACTTTGACGCCTGGGAGGAGTTTGTGACACTGCCGGAAAGTAAGAAGTGGATGTAAGTACTGGTTTACTTGGAACGTGTTGCCTGCGTTTCATATGATTCGGTGCGGAGGCATCTCATGTCAATCTCGTCGTTTGTTCAGTGTCGACGATCTCTTTCACCGCCAGAAGCAAGGAGGAGGTGGACACGACGACCACGAGGAACACGACAACCAGGACGAACACGACAACCAGGACGAACACAATGAAGAACATGGAGACGATCACGATGACCACAACAGCCCGGAAGTCGAAGAAGCCCATCATGATGATGAACCAGAAGAGCATCATCGAATCCTGGCAAGATCGAGTCGAAGGCTGAGCGAGGAGGATCATCATGGTCATGAAGATGAGCACGAGGATGAGCATGAAGATGAGCACGAAGACGAGCACGATGGACACGGAGACCATGAAGACGAGCATGATGGACACGACGATCACCATGACGAGCACGAAGAAGTTGTTTTCCTCAACCGCACTGAGCTGGCTAGCCAGGCAGATGTGAGACCGATGCACTACTTTGTAGAAGATGGATCATGGGTTCCAGAACAACCCGGAGTGTCCACGTACTTGCCTTCATGGCAAAGCAGTCCCTATGTGTCGGGCAAGTTCCTCAATGCGAATCTGCTGAATGACCCTTTCAACGGATCTCCGGAGATTGCTCAGCACGTCTTGCATAGCGGTACAGTTGTTGTCGGAAGTTACCTCGCTGCCCCTCCAGGAGATGCTGACAGTGCGAATCCGACAACTTCACTACTTGCAAACCTTGATTCCATCAAACACGGAGGCGATGACCACCACGACCACGGTAACCATGGAGAAGAAGAAGGCCCAGCATACAGAGGTGATCCCATGTCGTATATTTTTCTTCCAGTCTTCGATAAGGTTGAAGAAACTGAATCAGAAGAGCGAAAGGTGGTGGGTGTTCTGACTGCACTTCTCCATTGGGTAGACTACATCTCAGGAATATGTACGTTGGGCATTCTGGCCTGTTTGTCTTTTTGTCAATTTTCATTTTTTGCCTAACAACCTTGGCGTAACACTTCTGCTTCCTATGGAACCACAGTGCCAGATAATGTCCCGGACATTGTGGCTGTCTTGGAATATGAATGTGGTGGTGGCTTTGTTCATGATCATGCGACAGAAGTGGACTTGGGCCATGATGATGGCCATGATGTACACAACCACCAGAGAATCCTTGAAAACCAATCTATGGAGCATGCAGAAGACGGACATGACGACCATGAAGAAGACGGGCATGACGATCATGAAGAAGATGGGCATGACGACCATGAAGAAGATGAGCATGACCAGCACTTAGAAGAAGACGAAGATGAGGATGGCCACCACACAGAAGATCAACACGATGAGGGACCATTCATTTCACAGAATTATGATGGCTTGTTCACGTACCGCATCCGAGGAAGCCAGGCTGTTGCAATAGGCTCTGGAGACATGCATGATCCCAAGTTCCAAAATTGGAAACTGTCAGGAAAAACTAGAGGAGGGAGCCTTGCTGATGGGACCGCTGAAGGGCTTCAGATCGATAACCGATGCCTCTATCGGCTGCATGTTTATCCATCACAGGAATTCTATGACGAGTACAATACAAATGGGCCTCTGGTTACAACCCTGATCATTGTGGCTGTCTTTGTGTTTGCCATCTTCATGTTCTTGCTCTATGACCAATTGGTGGAGCACAGACAGAGACTTATCCTGACCAAAGCAACGCAATCAACAGCAATTGTTGCCTCACTTTTCCCCAAGGTAAGTACCTCTTGAAGGTTGTCGGTCCTGTTGTGTTCGAAGTCGAGAGGCCTGATTTTGTAACCCTTTTTAGAATGTGAGGGATAGGTTGCTGGAGAACGAGGACAAGGGGAAGACCAAGGTCCAGTTCAATAATGGATTCAGGAAGAGTACCAGTTTTATGTCAGATGAAGACATGGGTAGCACAGCAATTGCTGACCTGTTCCCAAACTGTAAGATCAAATTGTTGCTCTTTGTGCTTTAAGGCTCCTTTCTCTAAACCATCGACGCATCCTTGCAACTGTCAGGTACCGTTTTCTTTGGTGATATTGTAAGAAGCGTGACAATTCTTGCTGTTCCATTTCTAGATCACTACCCTCACAGTTGGCTCTTCTAAACCCCTTCAGGCTGGTTTCACTGTAAGTCTTTATCTAGCATCATAGATCACGTGCCGCATGGAAATCATTCTCATCTTCTGTTTGTGATTTGTGAAGGCATGGAGCAGTATGCGAGAGCCAGTACAGGTCTTTGAGTTATTACAGACAGTCTATCAGGCCTTTGATCAGCTGGCCAAAAAGCGGCGTGTTTTCAAAGGTCCGTTTCTGCTGCAGTCTAGTTGGGATGTAAGGAATCCACTCAACTCTCACCATGATTTATTGCTCATAGTGGAAACAATTGGGGATAGCTATCTCGTACGTTATGCAGCTCTATTGAAAGAATGTGTTCTGCGGAGCTTCAGTTCTGATGAAAATTGCTTATGATGTGTAGGCGGTGACCGGTCTTCCAGTGCCACAACCACAACATGCCTTGATCATGGTAAGTAGACCATGCTGCACAAATGTCTACCTATCCGTCCTACTAATTCCACCTACATTTCCAACTCATCTTCAAACCTCCACAGGTCCGCTTTGCCTGGGATTGCAGGAACAAGATGAACGACATCACAAGACGACTGGAAAGCAAACTGGTAAGCACAACAACATGTAGTATTCCTGTTTGTTTTACGTGTCCTCACTCAGTGCTGGCTGTGGATACAGGGGCCTGATACTTCCAATCTCAAGATGCGGTTTGGATTGCACAGTGTGAGTGCTAGGCCAGTCCATGAGTCTCTTCTGTTGAGAGAGAAAACCAAGTCCCTCGCATCTCACACCTCTCATCTGACTTGCAGGGTCCGGTGACTGCTGGGGTGCTACGAGGGGACAGGGTAGGTCATTCCTATGCATGTTTCCCAAGCAGTGATTCAGATATTGTGATGCTAATTTGCCACAATCAAATGCTTCTTCAACACAGGCGCGCTTCCAGCTTTTTGGTGACACTGGTAAGAAGATTAATCTTGGCGCCTGTGAAAGGTGCTCCCAAATCTGACTTCCTGAGTCTACCCTTCTCCTTGATTGTGTAGTCAACACTGCCTCTCGTATGGAATCCACTGGAGTGAAGAACAGGATCCAGGTTTCAGAAGCCACTGCCTCACTTCTCCGAAAGGCCCACCACGAGGATTGGTTGATACCTCGAGAAGATGAGGTCAACGCAAAAGGAAAAGGTGTCATAAAGTGAGTTGGAATTGATGGTCATGGTTGGCCCCACCATGACAGGCAAACCAATGGTGAATTTGTACACACAATTGGATTCACTAACTCTTTCTTTCTTTCGTTCTCAAAGGACTTACTGGCTTGTTCCCTATTCAAAGCAAAGCTCCAGTCAAGGGGACGCTTCGGAGTGTCGGTCCTCTAGAAGCGTGAGCGGGTCCGATGACTCCCCATCTCCTGATTTATCTGACCCAGAGCGCACTATTGACCAAAGCCTTGTAAATTGGACAGTGCAGGTTCTTCTGGATGATATCAAGAAGATTGTAAGTTAATTTTGCCCATTCTGTCAGTTTCTTTCTGGGTTTTGCTAATGCCTTCCATTTGATTTCCAGGTCAACGCCCGTGGTACCTCCAAGACCAAGCAAAGAAAAGTAGCACCTTCCTACTTCCCACCACAAGGGCAGACATGCATTGGTGAGGTCAAGGAAATTATCCGAATGCCCAGACTAGATGTCCTGAAGTCTGTGAAGGAGGAAGACTACAGGCAGATTGTCATTGATGCTGTTGTTGTGAGGGAGCTTCAGCATTATGTCAGCAGGATTGCAAGCATGTACCATGAAAACAACTTCCACAACTTCAAGGTATGGAACATCAGTTGTATCAGTTTTGTCAAGCTTCATATCCATTTGCATACTCAGTCCCTTTTCTTCTTTTCATCCACCACAGCATGCCTGCCGTAAGTCTGTCATGCCATTCTTCAATCGGTCAAAGTAACTCTGCCACCTCTCACATTTGCTTTTTCAGATGTTTGCATGAGCGTCAAGAAGTTGCTGAACCGCATTGTGTCAGTGTTATCTGACGATGATGCTGACAACTCCACAAGCAATCCAACTGCCAAGAAAGTTGCAATGCAACAGCTGTACGACTTAACACATGGTCTGAGTACAGACCCCATGGCCGCATTTGCCATGACATTTTCAGGCTTGATCCATGATGTGTAAGTCACCCTTGGTGCTTACGATTGTTAATCTGGCAAGATGCATCCCTCACAATGCTTTCCTGTCATTCTATCTGCGAAGGGACCACCGTGGTGTCTCCAATACGCAGCTTGCTGTAGAAGAACCTAGGCTGGCTTCAAAGTACAGCAACCAGAGCATTGCTGAACAGGTATGTGAATTAGTATCCCAGTCCGACATACTCCTTTTGTGGTCATTGCTTACCCCATCAACGTTCCACTCTAACACTGAATCGAATCTACACAGAATTCACTGGATATGGCATGGGATGTGTTGATGGAGGACTGTTACTCTAATCTTCGGCTCTGTCTTTTCACTAGCCAAGATGAACTTGTACGATTCCGTCAGCTCATTGTGAACGTTGTGCTAGCTACTGACATCTTTGATAAGGAATTGAACGACTTGCGCAAGAGACGATGGGCGCAGGCCTTTTCTGGTGAGGCAGTTGTTGGCAAGAATAGCGATCATGAGAGGGTTGGAGTTGCTGAAGATAGCGACAGACGAGCCACGATTGTTGTACGTCCTTGCTCTGAATGGTCTCAATGAGTCACATCAAAAAATGACACAGCCGCAGCTAACCCTGGCTTCTTTCTTCTTGCAGATTGAGCACATTATTCAAGCTTCCGATGTGTCTCACACAATGCAGCACTGGCATGTGTACCAGAAATGGAACAAATGCTTGTTCTTGGAGATGACGGCAGCCTTCCATGCTGGGCGTTTTGCCAAGAATCCTGCTGATTTTTGGTATAAAGGTGAGATTGGCTTCTTTGACAACTACATCATTCCTCTTGCAAAGAAGCTGGAAGACTGTGGTGTCTTTGGAGTCAGCAGTGATGAGTACCTGAACTATGCTCTCAAGAACCGCGAAGAATGGGCGGAGCGTGGCAGAGATATTGTTGCCAGCTGGGTTGCGGAAGAAAATTCATCATCATTGCAGCATGTTCCAAGCAGTATGTTGGTGGATTCACGGGAAGTGCAACCAAAAAGTTTCATTGGAGACGAATCTGGGCTTGAGACCGGCAGCAGTAGTTGTGACGCAGAAGAGTCCTCGGGGTCCCCGAAAACTATCCAGAAGGAACCAGTGTACATTGACTGTTAGGGTTTATTAGATGTTTAAACAGTCAGGATCTACGAAGTCAACCGTTTTGTATCTCCCCCCCCCGTCCCGGCCGCTGATTGTAGTCTCGAGATCCAGCTAGTGTTGGTTTTACGTTGCTTTGCGCTTGGCTGTGCTCTTGGTTGGGTGTCTTGCCTGTTTCGTCTGTTCCCCGCCCTACCAGGAAGGAGCAACAGTGGCCAGCTAGCCTGTGAAATGTACAACATCACATCTTGGCGACGATGCAGCGCACTGTTGAGGCAAACGACCGACGACGTCGCCTTTCCTCGGGCTGAAATTGGCTGCCT